TTCTTCTTCTTCTTCTTCTTCTTCTTCTTCTTCTTCTTCTTCTTCTTCTTCTTGTCTGTCTTACTATTTCCCTGCACTAATTACCGTTACTGTGCCCATGCGCATCTATTTACTCATAGACATAATGTTGTCTCCCTTTCTGTCACACAAAATGTCCGTATTTATATAATCTATCTTCTTTCTATTTATCTGTACATAGTCTGGAGGTTTTCTGTGTGTTTATATCTATGTATTCACTTCTTTCTTACGTATATACATATGTTTATAATGCTGACAGTTTTACTGTGTGCACCATGCACATACAAGATGTCATCGTGCATTAGATAGATAGATAGATAGATAGATAGATAGATAGATAGATAGATAGATAGATAGATAGATAGATAGATAGATAGATAGAGTGGAGGAAATACTGTGGCCCAGTGGCAGGCAAAATGGCCGCCAAAAGCATAAGTCAGGAATCTGAAACAGACATCGGCAACCACGGTTCGGCACTCGTCTGAGAGAGAGAGAGAGAGAGAGAGAGAGAGAGAGAGAGAGAGAGAGAGAGACGTAACTAGTCTTTGTGATAACAAAAACTGTTTCGATGATATCCGAACTGACTTTTGTTTTTACCAATGTCGACCCCGACTTATAAGATAAATTCCTGCTCCTGCAGATGTACTTGATCACTCGATTTTTTAATCTTGGGAGTAACATCCTTGCACTCCAGGCATTGCCATACGTGCTCCGCTCCTCGCTCCAAGATCCACCTCAGAGTCCACCTACTGATTGTTCAAGTGTTCATTTGGTTAATAACTCGTCCTTTCCATCCCCCGCTCCATGTTAATTCTGCCACTTCCTCTGAAGACACGTCAAGTTCTTCAAGTCGTAAGATTACACACAGTCATGTCAAATCTCCTCATCTTCAAGTGTGGTAGCTTGGACCTTCACGACTTCATTTTTGTCCATTTTAAGATCAGTATTCGTGGGTTCGAATCCCGTCATGGGCCCGACGTTGTGTCCTTGGGAAAGGCACTCTGCACAACTTTTTCCTCACTTCATCCAGGTGGTAATGGGTACCCGGCTATAGACAGTGAACGATCTTGTCAGTTTGATAGTGTTTGAGCGCGTGAAATCCACAGCTTGCACTGTATGCTTCCGCGGAAGCCGAGAATGTTTTTGAGTGTTCTCAGAGGGTCTGCTGAGGTAATAATAGTTGTAAAGTGCATAGAGAATGCTCTTGAGCATGGATATGTGCTATATAAATGCAATTATTATTTATTCATTATTATTGACAAGTGCATTGCTCGCCATTTTGTCTGCTTGTTCATTCCGCACCACACCCGTACGGCTTAGAGCATAGATCCATGTTATTTTTCTGCAGATGTAGACGACTGTAGTCCCAATCCCTGTCGAAACGGAGCCACATGCTCCGACCTAGTCAATGACTACGTTTGCGCATGCGCACCCGGCTACACGGACAAAAACTGTATGACAGGTACACGTACATCCATGTCTTGGTGACCATCGTCTTATTTTAGTTTTGTCGTATTGTTTCATTGGCCGAAGTAGCCAAATTCTTAAGGGGGCTCTCTTGGCCTTGAGGTTAAGGTGTTCGCCTCTCATGCAATTGGTCTCGGGTTCGAATCTCGATAGCGTCGAAAATATTTTCTATCTAAAATTGTCTCCTTTCACCTCTTTCCTGCTCTCTAACCATGCTCTGTCGTCTGCTTTTGTCTCCGCTTTCTTCCCCCACCTACTCACCTCCTTTGCCCCGTCCTCTGGGCTGCTGACTCTTTCTGCAGCCTCTCTACAGCTACTCCCTGGCTCTATTTCTTACTGCTGTCTTTCCGCTACACTCCTGATCTTATGGGAGGTAAGATCTACACCTAGCCGTCTCGGACAAGGGCGACAAATCTCAGAGGTCCCATGGGCAAGTTGCGCACGTTAAAGATCCCTTGGTGATCCAAAATCGATAAGAGTAGGCTTCAGCCGTCACCTGGGGAAAATTCGAAATTTTCTACCAAACTAAAATATGTTTAATGTGTCCGGCACGCTCATATGACCTTATGTAGTTGCGAGCGCCGTAAAACACTTACCAAAACAAACAACTGTCGTAGCATGACATGAACAATGAACTGGTCTAATCGAAACCGAAAGGACACGTGGCGCCATAGAACGAATTGTGAATGTGTTTTAGTGTTCAGTCCAGTCATTTCTGTAATATAAGCTAATCCGTTCAGTGGCAAACAGTATTTTGAAGTTTATACAACTGACTATTTGAATTTTCTCTATGGCCTTGTGCGTCTTGACAGACAATCATATAACGGTATACATGATAGAGCTTTGTGTGGGCGGTAGACATAGAGGAAGTAGATCTTACAGCAGTATACATGATACAGCTTTTCCTGGTAGGTAGACATAGAGGAGGGAGATCTTACAGCAGTATACACGATACAGCTTTTCCTGGTAGGTAGACATAGAGGAAGTAGAACTCACAACAGTATACACGATACAGCTTTTCCTGGTCGGTAGACATTGAGAAAGTAGATCTTACAACAGTATACATGATACAGCTTTGTCTGTGCGGTAGACATAGAGGAAGTAGATCTTACAACAGTGTACATGATACAGCTTTTCCTGGTCGGTAGACATGGAGGAAGTGGATTGCCCAAGTATTATTTCCCTCCGTTCAGATCTTGACTTCCTTGATCTGCTCCAAAGTAGAAACATCGCCAATACCTTTGGAATCAAGGAAGGTGGAAGATTGTGTCTGACTATTTCACACGTGGGGTAGGATTCTGTGGCTATTTTCTCCTCCTCATTTTTCGAACAGCCTTACTTGTAACTGAGCCCTTTGGCGCAGTGGTTAGTTGGAAGACGCGACTGATGGCTCCTATTTTCTTTCTTTCCATCATATTTATAAAATCTGCAGAGAATGTACACTCCAACTCGCAGTTTAAGGTCATCAGCTGACAAAACGAAATTCTAATTACCATCTATGAAACTTAAAACAATGGGTGAAAGGGCATTTAATTGTCAAGGCCCCAAGATCTGGAATTCATTGCCAAGTACTTTAAGACTGATCAAATTCCTTTTGATTCATTCAAATGTCAGCTGAAGTCATTTCTGTTTTTGAATTAATAAAATGAATATTTGGAGTGATTTTCTTTTGGTCAGAACACATTTTATATTACTGTTGTACTTTGTATTGTATTGTAAAGCGCCCAGAGCGTGTGTACTGTAATCGGGGTTGAGCGCTATATAAATGTCATTTATTATCATTCATTATTATTACCTGTTTCTCCCTGCACTAATAAATCCGCGATCGGGTCGATTTTTATTTTCTGCTCTCAAATTCTAACAAACATCGTATGGGATTTGTGCTAAATTTACTTTACACGTTTCAACTCCCTATGTGAGATCCACACTACACACGGTGTGCGTCATGCCTGGATCATAATAAAAATCTTTCCCAAATAAAAAAAAAATCTACGGGACCCCACAAAGTGATTGATTGAATAAGGCTATGCCTTTTTGACCATCTCGGCCGCTTTTACAATATAGAATTTTGTAGACGATAACGCATGTAATGTTAGCATTCTTGTTCAAATGATAAAGTATAAACACCTATATAATTATTCTTTTACAACACAAAGCCAAAACTAATTAATAATTTCTGTGAAAATTGATAGAATAGACTCGACAAGACGTAATGCAAGGAAAAACCTAGAATACATGCGAATGTATATTTTTACCAGACCATAATGATCAGAGAGCTGTTCTCCTCCTACCTGAGAATAGCAATAAATCTAGTTTGACGGCGTTTTTGAAGAAAGATGTTGTTTCCGTTAAAGTTTAATCGTTACTTTTATTTTTGGGAACCTTCGTTTTTCTGTGAAATTCTTGTAGGCTCAATTTTCTTCTCTTAAATTCCCTTCTTTCACCAACTTTCCTGCTCTCTAACCCTGTTTTACCGTCTGCTTTCGTCTCCATTTTCAGTCCCCTCCCCCCTCCCCTTTGCCCCCTCCTCTGGACTTGGTCCAGACTTTCTACTGCTACTACTTGGCTCCTTATTACTACTGTCATTCAGCCACGTCGCTGATCATAAGGTTTAATGTGTCCCGCAAGCTCATATGGCCTTTTGCCGTAAAACACTTACGAAAACAGAACAAGCAGGGTATCTTTAATAGTCCATTCAACAACGAGGAGCTGGGCTGTGTTAGGGAGGGATGTTATCAACTCAGCTGTGCTCACTTTCAACACACCAGAGTGATGAAATGTTTCTTTCACATACCCAGACATAGACGACTGTAGTCCAGACCCGTGTCAGAACGGAGCTACATGTACTGACCAGGTCAACGACTACACGTGTACATGTGTGCCTGGATACACAGACAAAAATTGTGCCACGGGTAGGAAGTTCTTAAGGTTTTCCCCTTTCTTTTTAGCACTCTTTTGATCAGAACAACACGTCAAATAAGAGGCATCAGTAACTTTGATGTATTGGCTTGAGAATACGGCACACAAGAGACATCTTCACTTTTTAAAAAAACAACATAAAACAATTTTGCACTCTCGACTGACGATCAAAGCACTACCGGAAAACGCACCAGAATACAACACGATAGTCACAATGGTCAAAAAGGTGCATTTAAATACACATAACTTTAACTACAGGAGACCTAAGAAGATTCACTTTTGTAATCGGATAATAACAACGATGGGTCAAATACCATTTTCTGTTTCATTGTTCTTGTAATATACACGATTCTATTATTTCAATGGTTTTAGTAATCAACAAATAATTATTAGGTTCTTGGTTACCCAACCATGGTTTGGCTAATATTTTCGTAATCCCATTCACACCGCGATCTACTTGAACGAAGGAATAACTGTGTTTTATGATAAGATACATATTTATTGTCCAGATCCTGGCACATTGGTTTGGTGTTTCACCACGTACACACATACACGCGCACACACACACACAAATATGCGCGCGCACACACACACACACACACACACACACACACACATGCAGGCTTACAATCACATGCATCATTTCTTATCTACATTCTACTACATGTGGTCGCTTTTAAGTGCAAGGGTGCTATCCTGAAAAATGCTGTTTTGAGAAAATCGAAGGTAAAGTGTTTGCCTCTTGTTCAGTTTCTTCAAAAGACAAGGAGAGTTGTTTTTTTTAAACCAAACAAATATACTCACCAATGAAACCAAACTTCTCCTATAGGAAGGGCAATGCCTACTTTTGGTATAAGTCATTTCTTGAACCCCCCCCCCCCCCGAAATCTGGGTTCGCCCGCTTGTCCTTAAAAGTGACCATATAATAAGGGAGACAACTCGTTCCTGCTTCTATCATTAGACATAGATGACTGCAGCCCGGACCCTTGTCAGAACGGCGCCACCTGTGTGGACCAGGTCAATGACTACCGCTGTGTTTGTGGGCCTGGGTACACGGACAAAAACTGCTCCACTGGTACGAGATGCTTTTTTCTCAGACACCAAGCAGATGTTCCAACTTATTCTCTTGTTTTAGTCTGTTTTAGTAGAGGTTTTACGGCGCTCGTAACTGCATAAGGTCGTATGAGTGCCCAGGGGTGGATGTCAACAGAGAAATCCTTACGGGGAACCCGGAATCAGGCTTATTCTGCTCACCTTTCTAGCTTCAACAGCACAAAGTCTGCTTCGACTATCAAGGTACCCCGGAAATAACAGGTCACAAAAGTGTGACAAACATACAAAAGAAGTAGAGAAAAAATGACAACAGTAAGGTTAGGAAAGAAAAAGCAGCAGTTCCCTGCTGCAGTTCAAGCACAATTATAAGCATGACATTGATGAATCAGCCCATCGACAATTACAATTCTACTGTGTATAAGAAGATCTTTGGGAATGGCATAAAGACACTTCAGTCAGTAGCACCACCCCGGGGGTGGATTCATTCTCTAAAGTTGGGTTTTTGCCAAAGGATTGTGTAGAGGGGTAAAGGGTTTTTTTAAAAGAAATATATCACTTCATTAACTACGGGCCTTACAAAGAATTGACCAAATAGTGTGCCATGTCGTGATGTGGAAAATGTGGTCTGTGTTATATTCAAGTCTACTTTCGTAGCTGTAGGCCGTATTCAATCGATATCTCAAAATCCAAGGACAACTAGGCAAATCAGTACTTACTATGTTGGCCAAATTCGGCCAAAAAATAATGGTGTTACGTTAAGAAAAATAGTTTAAGGTCAAAGATGTTCCTCCCACACAGACATAGACGACTGTGCCTCACGTCCATGTCAAAATGGCGGCACGTGCGTGGATCAGGTCAACAACTTCATGTGTCTCTGTGTGCCGGGTTTCACCGACAAAACATGCTCTACAGGTAGGACGTCCTCTCTCACCTCCCCACTTGCCGGCATATATATCTGCTGATCGTATCTCTGGAAGAAGGGAGCTCAATATTAATTTGCTTTGGCTTCGGTGAAACACAAGCAGTCTTCTCCTTTCTCATAACCATCTGTCGAGAAAGCAATATTCATCACAGCAGTATCCTCAAATCTCACGCTAATCTTTGCTTGCCTACTATTTCGTACATTGATGGGAGTAGCGGTTTTACTCTGTGCTCGTAGACATCACGATGGTCCCATTTTTATGTCTTTATTGCTTTGTTGTTTTCATCATCTGCTTTTATCATTTAAACCCTTTGTTTGCCGTATCTTATAGGCTTCATAAATGTAGCCATATTCTTTGCTTGCTTGATTCCCTTTCAAGAACGGTTGTAAGAGGAAAATAGTATTTCTTCACATAATTTACTCTTTCCTATAATGCAGCGAAGTCTTTTTAAACCGAACACGTTTAATCCGAAAACAGCGGCAAAGCAAAAGAAAAAAGAATACTCAAAGGGGGTGGGGGGGGGGGGGGGGGGGTTGTTCGTTGTTAGAGCAATCTCTCTAAACTGAAAACGCAGCTAAACCAATATGCTCTTGTGGAAAGAATACAAGCGTAACAAAATCCCCAAGATAAAAAACATCATAAATAGGCTGTTTTACCGGGCTTAAGACTTCTATATTTCTTGTTTTAAAAGATAGATCTAACTGTTCATCAACTTTAAAGTTGTTCTATGAAATATGTCGTCTCACCATGAGCAAATGCTATCATTCTGCCAAAGATGAAACCGACGGCTGGTGATGTTTACAAACCCAAATTGTCAGTGTGCGACTCTAACCGTGTATCAGCCAAATTATGCCAAACACTTTTTAAATTTATTTATTTATTTATTTATTTATTTATTATTAACTATTTGTCAATAAATCGTTTTTTCACTATAGCCTTTCAGAATTGCTCAAAATATGTTTTGCCTAACCCTATTCGTACACCCTGGGGTCATTTTATCAACGGGGTTGTATTCTTCACATTTTAGAATACTTCTAGTATGAAGATCTCTTTGAAACGTTCAGTATTTCTCAAAAAATCATTTTGACAGACTACTATACAAAGCGTACGGATCGGATTAACGAGTAAATTTCCTCTTTGGAAAGTGGTGCACAGAGTTCCCCACGTCGTTTGGATACGATAATAAAACACGACGTACGGATAGGTTTAAAAGTGTTCTTTCTTTCTCCTTATCAAAGTATCATCATTGGTGATTCCGCTTGCAAATAGCATGATTTCAGGTTGTTGTTTTTTAAAGTGTCTGACCTAGTTTGGATACACGGTTTGTGTCGGACACGGACGACATGTTTGCTGTGCTGTCATTTCCTCCCTTTGGCCGCAACTCGCTACCTCGGAAGTACACAGTGCCATCTGCACAGTACCTAGTTTTGAGAAATTTGACGTAAAAAATGTTCAGTTTCACAGAATGTCAAGCTTTTTCGGAGTCAATTCTTTGAATATCTTGATAATGACTTCGAATGATCTAACGATTTTGATAGAGCAGATTTAACATTTGGTTTCTGATCTCATGGTCTTCGTAACTCGAAACGGCCAAAAATGTCTGATAGAACTTTGTAATCCTGAGGTAGCGAGTTGCAGCTTACGTTCCACTGTTCCGGGTCCTAGCAGTGCTGTGTAATATAATATGCACGCTTCCGTATATTACTCTTAATATTGTCTTAACAGATTCCAGCGTTGAACATTTTGAAAATATGTGAGGCAGCGTGGTGAAATCTGGCGCTCGTCAAAACAATGAAATAAAAGAAATCGTCATTTTTTGGACTGATGGGCAATTTTTATCTTCTTTTTTTTTGGGGGGGGGGGTAGGCTCAACACATTTTAGGTGAATTTCAAAATATATTTTTATATGGATATTACTTAAAAACGTTGATTAAAGGCACAAAAATGTAAATTATCAGTCTCCAGGGATTCTCAGACTATGGAAGTTAACAAACTTTGACAGCCATTTTCGCGGTAACTTTACCTCGGAAAGAAGGCGACCTTGATCTCCGTCAATCGCAAATATTTTGTCTTGTTTTCAACGTATGAACAAGGCAAATGAACAGGCTTTAAGATCATACCGATAACCCCATATGCCCAAAATCTGAACAGCGCCGGTTCCACCACGTCGTGACACATATAATCAGCGGGCGTGTAAGATTTCTGCTTGTGAGTGTGACTCTCACTTATAATGTACACATCATCAGAAACACGCGGAACCAGAGTGACGGAAACGTCACCTACGTACATTCACCTACACACTAACACATGGGAGAGAGAGAGAGAGAGAGAGAGAGA